TCAGAAAATGAACAAAAAGTATACATAGGTACATGTAATGTACTCAGTCAAAAGCCAAAAAACAACGGTATCACCAGTTACAAAACTACAAGTATATACATATCAATCTGCAGGTCTCCAAATATCAACAGAGCATTAAAACAACACTCAAAACATATTAACCCACCAGCACCTGTCAAGTAGGCTGACCAGGCAGGAGGAGCAGAAGTGAAACTAGAAAAGAGAGTGGAAGCAAGAGGGGAAAAGCAGGTGAAAGAAAAACAAAGAGGAACAAAAGAACAGATTAGAAAAAGGTCCAGAGTGAGTGCCAGGGGCGGTAAAATATATATAATACTTTCATATGCAGTATTATGCAACATAAACATACAAACATAAACAAATATCTTAGTCCAGTGCCCATGGAAATGCAGACGATATTGCCCAAGAACAGGATGGGAGGTGTGAAAATTGTGGAAGCACCTTGTTCTAGTTACATAATTCCATCCTTGATGTCAGGAAGGCTTTATAGGTGTTATCCTTTGATTTGCATGACTAAAGGAGTGAATTTTTGTCAAAACATGTGGTGAGAAGGTTTAAAAAAACATTAATGCAGAAAACAAATGGCATTGAGTGCCTCCCTTTCCTCCAAAAAATGTTCACTTCTTTACAATGCAGGAAAACTGCTGAGTCTTGACCTGTAGATTTTCCCTTCCTATGTTGCGCCATTTATTTGTTAAGAGATTTTTGTCTCCCCAATATGCAGGTCTTTGCACTATTTGCTACACTGCACTACATATACCAAGCAACTTTGCTCATCTTTGGGTGTTTTGTCTTTTGGATGTACAAGCTTCTGTCTCAGTGCTCAGTCAGCTGGGGGCACTAAAGACACAGGGATGCAATGTTTGTTAAAGAAGAACTTTAAAAGGTTAACCCTTGATTGACAGTAGGAAGTGGGTGGGTGCAATAACCAGCCTGCTATTGGCTATTGCAATTTGAAATGGCCAATAGCAGGCTGGCTATTGCTCCCAGCCACTGCAGATCAATGAGCAGAGGAACAGACCTGAAGGAGAATTTTCTCCTTCAGGTCCGCTCCTCTGCTATTGACAGCAGGCAGTGGGTGGGTGCAATAACCATCCTGCTATTTGCTATTGCAATTTGAATTGTGACTGCCCACTGCCTCCGGCCGACCCCTAGAATAGAGCACCTTTTGTTTTTTTTCTGCACACCGGTTTGAGCTAATGGTGCCAATGGACAACTTTCAATTGTGAAGGGAAGTCAGCATAAAGTGTCTTTCATCTGCTGCACCGTTACCTTGGCCAACCACATTTTTGGTCCTCAGCATTGCGTGTCATTGTGCTTTTGCAGGAGAACTTGGGCAGCACATCTGGAAACACCTGTCCTAATCACAAATTCTGCCTATGAGAGACCTTGTTATTGCAGTTAGACCATCCTGTCTTTTTCCTGTGTTTACTCTTGCCATTGCAGTGCAGGGGGATGCACTGACATGAAGTGAGATGCAATGTGATGTGAAAAAATGGAAAGTGACAGAATTTTTATGCACCACAACCCACCTCAACGCAGCATTGTGGTATAAATAGAGCACATTGAAAACAATTGTTTTCTATGTGCCCTTGCGGTGAGCCCCTGTTAATCTGTGCAGATTAACGCAAATCACCACACATGGTGTGAAATAGCCTTTAATCAAGCACTGGACCATATGCCTGTAGCCCTTAAGTGTGTGCAAGTGTAACTGAGAGCACTGATGCAGTTTTAAAGGCAAAATGTGGACACACAAAATTTTGATTTGATATGTTTTGTTTTGTTTATGCACTTTAGGTTATTAATTGAAAAGGCATCCTTACGTTACAGCAAGTGCCTAAAACCTCTGGAGATTATATATATATATATTTATACATAAATACATACATATATTTCTTGCCGCCCTTATGAATGTAGATAATAAACATTATTTTGACCTTAGGGTAATAATTCTCACCTGCACATTGCAAGAACGGTAGTTTCTGGTTGGTCCAATACAATTTGATCCCCCATCTGCCCTAAGGAAGCAATACAATTCATACTGCAGTTACAAATCTGTCCAGGTTCATTATCAGTCATCATGTTTTAACAAAATGTATGTCCTTTACCATAACTAGGCACTTTTCCACCCATATTTTGGCAAGTCTAAGGTAAGTAATTTGTCTAACATCTAAATCTCATTATGCCACCTGATCTCTCTTGCAAATATCATCCCTCTTTCATTTCTGCTCTTCCCGGGCAGATGTTTCTTGAACCTTTAACCTTGTTGTCACCAAATTCATGCTTAAAAAGCATTTCTATATCTGACCCCCAAGACACCATTACAGTTTCTGTATTCCTTTTCCCTTTCAAGATACCAGAACAACATGCATGTTGAAAGTGATCAACATATTCATCTCCACATTTTTTCCTGGTTGATTTACATTCTGATAAAACCAAAGGTGACTACTCAGGGCTGAGAGAGTTCATGAACATGACCAATAATCTTTATCTCCTTCCCAGTCTCTGTCCCAATTGTTTGGCTTGTGTCACTGAATGTTTTGGAGCCATAGTTCATGTCATGTTAGTGTATGGTCAACCAAAACTTTTTTTTCTTACCTTTCAAAACAATTACATGCAGTGTGCCAGCATTCATATGCAGCGGGTGTCACCTGATCAACAGGGGTATGTTCACAGGAAGTGTGCAGCAGAGTAATCTACAGTGTGCATGGAGCCAAATGGTTCAATGCACATTAAAATCAAGCAAAGCATGCATCTGATGCTAGAGACGAATGATTTCCTAAATGCTTATACGCATTAAGTCATCTGGCCTAATTCACTCTTTTGGCTGGACCCACCACTGCACTGTTCCGGTGTAGAGTAAAGGTACTTTAATTAATACATAGGAACACACCTTTTTATCATAAATTAATAAAAATACAAGACCAAATCTAGTGACAGGATTAACTTTATCTCTACAATGAATGAGACATCTGTCTAATCTTGTGTTGCTATTGGCAATCTTACTGAATTAACATGGTTTCCGGTAATCAGTTAATGTATAATAATCCCCTTACTGCAATCAATTAATTCAGGCCAGTTTAATTTCTATAGAGTGTCAGAGATTATCCTGATGGCAGCAAATACTGTCAAGATGAAATAGATCAAGCCAGTGTCCTTAGGGGTGACCACAGATATGAGATGTACGCCACTCTAGGTGGACGACTGTGGTTGAAATGGGAAACGGTTTAATGACTACTCACCTATCAAAATTGCACACTTAGTCAAAGGATGTTTATTTTACAGTCATTTTTAGAACAATCAAGCGGCAGTTGGATCGTCTACGGTCCATCGAATGTCTAGGTAGCTTAATGTTGTGTCTGCTAAAATCCTCAAAACCTAAACAACAAACATATACAGGAGGGGGGAGGGGGGGGGGCATTTTCTAGGTTATTTTCAAAAAGGGCATAGGGATCTGATCACCACTCTGGGAGACATTTATCATTTAACAAAGCAATGTTAACACACACCCACTGTGGTGTGAAAATTATCAATTTGCCAGCAGTGTGGCTTAAAAAAATGTAACGGGCAAATGTAAAATATTTTAAGTTATGCAATGTGAACATGTAACAAATATAAAATAGGTTTTATCCCAATTTAGCTGCAAAAGTGCAAATACACATTAAGTCTGTTGTAGTCTGACAACAGATAACTTACCTTTTTGGTGTTCATAACATTAATATATAACAAGTAAACGATGAAAAAAAAAAAACCTGAGATACACAGCATTTTGCTACCTACATGACATTCAGTGAGGCTCCATTCACAGCAATGAGTTCATGCGTGTTTGTCTCCCGCAATTGCTGCATGTCCCCATCGATTCACAAACACATAAAAGTAGTGCATGTAGCAAAGTCTACGACATGCATTCTGCAAAAAATTTTAAGGTGCACAAATGTGGAGAAAGAAAGCATGCATTTGCCTAGCTGTGTTTGGGGTGCCATTAACTGGTAATGGCACAGCAAGTGTGTTTCGCATTTTTTATGCGTATCAAGGATGCGCGTCAAAGTGCACTTTTACACGTTTGACGCACGTACACGAAACACTCAGGAGTGAATGGGGACTGAAGGTTTACATCCACTTTGACAGATCTGCAAGTGCCTACACACCCTACACTGATTTCTCTCTATGCAGTTTGTCAGCAGCACTCCCTATGCATCCCCTATCATAGATAAAGCACATTGCCAGTATGGTTGCTGTGACCCCACCCTTTTATAGTGAGGGGTGTACTTTATCCAAAACCCCCTTATTGGACCTTCTAATCAAACTGACCCAAGTTTAAAAGGCAGGCAGTGCCTTATGATTACAAAGAATTGGGTCTGGCAAAATCCTGTGTAAATTCTCCGGGACTTTGAATTTGAAACCCACAGGATTCACCAAAAACTGTCAACAGCAAACTCAACCTTATCCCTACTCCTAAGATTTGCCCCCAAAAAGTTTTACGGCAGAATGTCATATTCATAGCCTGCTGTTAGAACCCTGATAGTTCTCGTGAAAATGCCAAGTATCGGCACTGGTATCTGAACATCCCTATTAGATATACTGACAAAGCTAGAGCTTTATTAGAACACTTAAATGTAGATAAATGTAGCATGAAAATAAGAGCCATTTAGTGGAAAAGCTGTGTCCTCTAATCCAGTTTAAGCTAAAAATGTTTGTCTGAATGCTATGTATAATTAATAAAGCCTTGACAACAGCAATGAAAATGTGCAATTTGCAGTAGCTGATTGAGCCAAAACAGGTTTCAGTTGCTTGGAGTCATATGAGTAAAGGATATTTCTATGGATGGAATGGATGGTTTCAGTTAGTTACCACACTTTACTACTGTATTTGCGCAATGAAATAATATAATTTGTTACTTTTGTTAGATCCTGTCCTTGAAAAGCATATGTGAGTAGCAGCTTTTTGCTAGATACATTTTAGTTTGGTCATCTGCTTATGTTAGGAGGCAGCAGGCAGGGACTTGTATGTCAGTGAATTCTTGTGTTCCCTTAACAAGTTTTAACTAAACTTACACAACTGAAAACTAAGTGGACATCTCAGTAAACATGCAAAACAGATGAAAGAGTGCAACATAAAATTTAAAGCCTTATTTAAATGTAAAGGTATTTCTTTTTTGATGCAGCATAGTACCAGAACTTGCTAAATGTTTTTGCTACAAATTTCTGGGAGTTAGAAAATTGCTAAGAAAAAGTCATATATGTATTGTTAAGGAAGGTGAGTATAAATTCCTACATTAAAACAAGAAATATAGCTTTTCTTTGCATATTCCTTTCTACCCACTGATCTGTGTGTAACAGTACGAGGAGGGTTAAGGAACTTTAAAGCAGTGGTGGAGTGGACATTAGGTGCAATAGTCCAGGTGTGGCGGGGAGGTTTTGCTCATGGTGGTTGGGAGGAGAAAGGCTTCATTTGACTCGGGTTGGGTATATGGATACTTAATACCTGCTAACCCTTGAGAGGGAGCCAAGAGGCAGATAGATTTTGGTAGTTGGGCATTTGGTGCATTAAAAAGAGAGGAGTGGCTCATGTGGGATAACCAGGTTGGTGGCACATACCTAGGGCTATTGTATTACAAGTAATTCAAAAGCACAAGGGTGTACTTTGTTGCAGTTGTCTGGGGTATGTGAAGACACACCTATGACATGGATGCATCAGTCTAATGTAAATGTGGGCACAAGGGAGTGGTTATGTGAGTGTGTGTGTGTGTGTGTGTGTGTGTGTGTGTGTAGTGTGTGAGTGTGTGTGTGTGAGTGTGTGTGAGTGTGTGTGAGTGTGTGTGTAAGCGAATTGTAGATTGAGTACACCTACCGTAGAGAAAATGTAGTTTGGGTGTATTTGGTGGTGTGCCAGGGATAAAGGTTTGGGTGTGAGAAGCATTAGTCCATCTGCCAATGGCTGGCATGAAAGCTTTCAACCATCTTTGCTAAACGAACAAGAACAAGCGTCAGTGGAGGACACGGAGTTAGGGGTGCAAAGGGATCTGCAGGGGATGAAGTCAAAAGGGTAACTGTATATGTTTCATGATATTACTGGTTTTATTTTGGAAAGTCATGGGTGATGTGAACTTATCTTCGAAGGATGAAGCTACAGTATCTCTGAGAAAGGGTCCACAGGAAACCCTAAGAATGTTTATCACTAAAACTTAGAGAACATACAGTACATTTACGATCATTCTCGAAAATTCTACTTATACCTCTTCCTTATATACCTCTAGAACTACTTTACCCTGGATTTAACTTAAGATATGTTTTTACTTCTAATTAATATTGTAGACTGTTACATCAGTTCTGCATAGTCCACAATATGTAAGTTAGCAATCTACTGTATTTTTAAAAGAATATTTGGTGATGATGATTCTACATGTCTGTTCACTAGCAAGTCCATTAAAATGAGCAATCTACATAGTTTTGTACTCAGGTTGTGCTGAGAAAATCATTATTGTTATTTAAATTATATATAGAGGCATTGTATATAGAACATCTAACATGGTGTTATATAAAGTATGAAAATGCATAAATAATTACAATAAAATATAGAACAAAGAATGGCAACCCTGCCCAAAAACTTACAGTTTCAAAGGAAAAGTGACACAAGGGAAAAGGGGGACTGTGCAGGAGTATTTTTGTTGAAAGCAATCAGGGAAAACCAGATGGTAAGAAAAAAAAAGAACATTTTTTTTAAAATTATTGTTATACAGTGGTGGGAATTAGAGCTTGGATGTAGTTGTGGCATTGAAAGAAAATCCTTAAGCTACTTCTGTCTTAAGGATTCTGAATGTATGCTGATTCAGCACAGCTATAAGAACAGAGATGGTGCATCCTCATACAGTTCTAACATGTTTAAGTATGTGCACATTATGTGAACTGAGGTAACACACAAGACACATAGAAACTTTCTCAGCTCACAAGAATTAGGACAAGCACCCTGGATTTAGGACAAGACACTATTAAATCTCCAAAATCTTGTCTACAGTGTAAGCGACCAAGTAGATTGAGTGCTGCAATAAATATTTAATTTTGCTGCCTAGGAGATTTCTT